TTCAATTATTTTTCATATTTGTATAAAAGTGCGTGGTGAAACCCGCGGGTATAAGCTAGTATTATATATATACATACATATATGTATGAATACATGTATGCATTATACGCGAAAACTTTTTGAAGTGAAACAACACTTAGACAAAGACCAATCCAAGTGTTACGAATAATAAATGACACAACTATGGTTAACGATACAAAATATTTTATTAACACGACTTGTAATTAAACAGGATTAATTGAAATGCACGTGGTGGTTCTTATATTTCACTTAACGAAGTGACTGAAAGAAATTTTTATTATACAAGACAAGAACAAAGGTAACGAAAATTCATAAGAAAAGGAATGCATGATAATTAACATGTCAAACAACTAAAGCTAGGGTTGTATTTTCTAGTATCATCTCAAACATACTCCCCCAGTTTAAGCTGGAAGCTTTAACTAGGCGTCGTTTATCATCAATGGACATAGCTTGGATATGGATCTGCGATACGTGCCACTCGCAGTTTTAACCTCTACCACGCGTACTAAGCCGTCATTTCCAGGATACAGCTGAGTAATGGGACTCAATTTCCATTGCCAGGCGGTAGGTTTGCGTCCTTTAATATGACTACATCTCCAATCTTAAGGTTCGTTATTACCTTTTTCCATTTGGGCCTTTTGCGTAATTGAGTCAAATAATCATCAGACCATTTGCGCCAAAAACCCCTTACGAGTCTTTGCATATAACGCCACCGGTTTAGAGCCGATACTGATTCGCCTTCAGCCGGAAGACATTTCATGGAACGCATGATTAAGAAGTGCGCCGGTGTTAAAGGGTCCATATCACCTTCAAATCGTTCACATAATGGCCGAGAATTCGCACAGGCCTCTATTTGACACAATACTGTTGAGAGCTCGTCGAAGGTTAACGAAGTTACGCCCATCACGCGACGAAGATGGAATTTGACAGTTTTGACGCCAGCCTCCCATAATCCCCCAAAATGAGGAGCATGAGGAGACGAGAAATGCCAAGATATACCAAGGGTCGATGACTCATTTACAACGGCTCGCCTATAATCTTCTGTATTGTGTAAATTAGATATACTCCGTAGATATGCATTTGCACCAACAAAATTGAGGCCGTTGTCGCTGAAAATGTTGCGACAGAGACCTTGACGTGACACGAATCTCCGTAGTGTGGCAATAAATGCTTCAGTGGACACTTCGGTCACTGCTTCGAGATGCAGAGCCTTCATTGACATGCAAACAAATAGCGAAATATAGGCCTTATGCGTTTTAGCACCGCGTCCCTTCCATGTCCGAATTGTTATAGGACCGCAGTAATCTATACCGGTGTTGACGAACGGCATACTCGGTTGAACTCTCGACGGTGGCAATTGACCCATCTGCTGCTAATAACTTAGACTTCTATACCGCATACAAACGGGACAGCTATATATGCATCGACGTACACTCTACTGCAGCCGATTATGTAATATGTTAATGAGGCTAAATTAATCGTTTGGCGAAGACCTGAATGCTTATTCCGTATGTGTATCCACCTAATTAGTATCTTACTAAAATGATGATCGTAATGAAGAATAGGGGGGTACGCTTGATCGTAGGGAATCCTTGCTGCAGATAGTCTGCCGTTAATTCGAACAATGCCATTTTCGTCGAGAAATGCATCCAACCCATAAAAACTACTTCGTTTGTGAAGAGGACGTCCTCGTTCCAGATTTTTTTATGTCTGCTTCAAACATCGAATGCTGCGCAAGTCGTATAACTACTGATCTAGCCTCGCTAATTTCAGCCGCATTGAGCAACCCAACCTCATCCGGAATGGACCTTACTGGTTTTGCTAAACGTTTTATTCGTGCTACAGTCCGAATTAGTCGATGGAAATTGGAGAATCTAGACAAATACTCTGCAAAATCTTCTGTTGTGGCGGTTTGATTTATACTCGTAGAGACCTCGATAACATCGGTTGCTCCATCGTTGGCACTGTTTGGAATCGTCCACGTATTTAGTTTCGATTGCTGCAAAAACTCAGGACCACCCCACCATAATTTAAGCTTCAGCAGATCCTTGGGACTTGCTCCTCTCGTTATATAGTCGGCAGGATTGAGCGCAGTGGGAATATAATTCCAACAAGAGGCGGGAAGTAAGCTTACAATTTGTGGAATACGGTTGTCGACAAATACGTGTCTTTGGCGAGGGTACCCTTTTATCCAATAAAGTACCGCCGTAGAGTCCGACCAACCGAAATACTTTATATTAAAAAGAGCTATTGACTGGCTTACCCTTTCAACTAATTGAGCGGCTAAAAGCGCCGCACATAATTCTAAACGTGGAATACTTAGCATGGCCTTAAAAGGAGCTATACGGGTTTTACTTGCGACGAGTGAAATATGAATGTTGTCCTGATTGTCTATAACACGCATATATACCACGGCACCATAAGCCAATTTCGATGAGTCAGCAAATACATGCAATTCTACATTGGAATCATCTACGAGCTGCATCCATCGGCATATGGAAACTTCAGAGAGGTCGTCGGAGCCATTACGAAAGGCATTCCAGTCGGCAGGCAAACCTTGCGGTATCGGATCGTCCCACCCAATACCCGTAGACCACAGCCTTTTCATAAAAATTTTTAGATATACCACCATGGGCGATAGCCAACCCAACGGATCAAAAATTCTCGCAATCATAGATAATATTTCCCTTTTAGTGGAGGTTTCAGGAATTTCATTGAGTTTTATTCGAAAACGGAAAACATCTGGTTGCGGCTGCCACCACATCCCCAGCGTTTTAATGGCGCCCCTTTCTCCGAAGAATAGCTGATCACTAGTTTCTCGATCGGACGGCGGAATATCTGCTATAAATTGCATACAACTCGACGACCATTTGCGCAGCTCCATTCCAGCTGAAAGGAGCACATCGCGAAGATTACTAGCGATGTGTGCAGCAGCATCCAAATTGTGTGCTCCGCCAATGTAGTCGTCCATATAAAATTGTTCAAGTAAATGGGAGCATGCATCTGGATACGTCTTCATGTTATTTAGAGCGATCTGTTTCAAAGTTCTGGTGGCCAAAAAGGATGCAGGTGTCGTTCCGTAAGTTACCGTGTTTAGCTGGTAAACGCCAATGTTCGAATTCTCAGACTCACGCCAATATATTTGTTGGAAACGCCTGTCTTTGTGATTTACCAGGATTTGTCGATACATTTGCGCTTTTGTACTAGTATTGTAAATAGATCATTCTGTATGACTGGACCGGTTAATAAGCAATCATTGAGTGAATATCCCGTAGGAGGCTTAGCTGACGCGTCCAACACCACACGTAGCTTAGTTGACGTACTAGATGGTTTAAGGACCGCGTGATGTGGCAGAAAATACGATTCACTGTCAGAGTCCATAAATTGGATACGCGTCATGTGCCCTAACCTTTCATATTCGCACATGAAGTCTATATATTGGGCTTTGAAATGCGCATCAAGCATAAATCGTCGTTCCATAGCAAGTAGCCTGCGCATTGCGATGTTGCGTGTTTGACCAAGCAATGATACGTTCGGATTAAATGGCAAACTTGCCATATATCGACCATCATCACTAACTGTATAATGCTGACGAAAGTGCCCCTCGATAAGACTTTCCGCACTCTCCCTTGATACCTTGCCATCAATAAGGCTTTCTTGCTCCCAAAAGCTTCTCACGAGGCTATCAAGGTCAGCAACAGACGCTTGCATTACACTTATATCAGTTGGACAATCAATAGCAGGTGCTATAACCCAGCCGAATAGTGTATTTTTGGCAACTAGCGTCTGTGATGGATGTGTTATTTGGCCATCGATAAATACTTGAAAAACTACGTCGACACCAAGCAATACTTCAATGGGGCCAGGTTGGTCGTAGTGCCGATCCGCTAGGATGAGGTTTCTGAAAAATTTTGTATTACAACTTGGCAACTTAGTTTGAGGCATCTCCCCTGTAAGTGTTGGCACGATATATGTAGAAGTTGAAATACGAGTATCGCTTGCCGCGTGAATATTCAGCATGACCTTGCCTCTAGTCATCATGCATTTGTTAGGTTGACCCGCTTATTAGAAATTTTTGCATGAGTGCGAGCTAACATTAATCGCTGAGCACATGATTCAGTTATCAACGTTGATTGGGAACCGGAGTCTAACAACGCACGACAGGGCTGTAGAACATTGGTAGAATACTAATATTTGCAACCGGCCGTGTACAAGAATAAACGGAGATCGTGTTTACCGGTGATTTATTTTCATGTAATAATGTGTTGTGTCTGCCCTTGCACATCCTGCAGTTTGAAAATTTGCACTCGGTCAAGCTATGCTTTGTACGCAGGCAGTTTGGACATATACCGTTTGTCCGTACAAAGTCATTTCTCAATGTCACCGACAGTTCTTTGAATGCTGTGCATTGATAAAGAGAGTGACCTTGTTTGCACTTGAGACACGATGGAATTGAAACGGCCAGTATGCGGGGCTTTGTACCCCTTGATGCTAAGCATTTTTGCGATGCTCTTGTACTATCTTCAATTTTCTCTTTTTCATTTATACGCTCATTCAAAAATGTTAGAAACTGTTGAAAAGTTGGTTCTTCTATTTTACGCGTTTCTCTTGACCATGCAAGCTTGGAGTCAATATCCACCTTTTTCAATAAATGATACAGCAGTAGCCTCGACCACGACTGCACCGGCTGCTTTAAAACATGCAGGGCGTTGTAATTCTCATTTGTTGTGAAGTAAAATTGCTTTAGATCACTGAGGCTGCCTGTTTTCATAGGAGATTTCTCAAATAGTTTTTGCAAGTGAGCATCTACAATGAGATAAGTTTTGTTGTAGCGATCACACAATAAAGTCCATGCGGTCTCAAAATTTTCATCACTTGGTGGAAGGTGTTTAATGATCGATAACGCTTCGCCTTTCAATCGACCTTGGAGATATTCCATTTTCTCTATGCCCGCTCGAAAACGGATCCACTGAAGTTAGGTATTGCTAGCTCCGGCAATGATGATTTTGTGACTGTACGATTTATGGTTATATCTCGTTGCGACGTTGATGTTGATAATTTTTCTAATATATTATGCAGGGTATTTTGGCTATTCGCCGGACTTTCTAGCGCGTTTCCGATAGCTGCGTTGCTGAATTCGTCGAAGTGAAAGGGATTGCTAAGAGCAGCTGCCGATTCCTCGAGCATTTCGAACATTTTTGCTTTGATTTTGAGGCTGTTTGTTTCGAATTCATCGCGAGCGTGTAATTCTTGTTCAAATTTATCTTCCGCGACTGATTGCTCAATAGATGTCTGAACCACCTCGAATTGTTTAATAATGTCGTCAATTTTCGCATACCGAACTTTAATATCAGCGGTTGTGCACTCGGGCTTTTGCAAAAAATTTTCAATGCGCGTTATTTGAGCCTTAATCGAGGCTCTTTGACGTATTAACGAATCCATTTATCCGGTTCGAAAAGGACCAAATTATGTTACGAATAATAAATGACACAACTATCATGGTTAACGATACAAAATATTTTATTAACACGACTTGTAATTAAACAGGATTAATTGAAATACACGTGGTGGTTCTTATATTTCACTTAACGAAGTGACTGAAAGAAATTTTTATTATACAAGACAAGAACAAAGGTAACGAAAATTCATAAGAAAAGGAATGCATGATAATTAACATGTCAAACAACTAAAGCTAGGGTTGTATTTTCTAGTATCATCTCAAACAGTGTTTTATTGTATATTCATGAATTCATTTTATTTTTTTACTTCCAAAGTAGTGGTTTTGGTCCATAGTTGGACTAGTATTTTTCTGTCTATTGTGAACTAGTAATATACTGGTATATGTCTGACCGAAATCTGACAATTGCCATCTCGTAGGACATCGCCATGTTAAAAATATCAGTTGATTGCATGGAAAAAAGATAGTTGGCTGACTGGTTGGGCATGCGGTTCATTCTAGTTGTGAGGTAGTTTACCACTAGTACATTTGACTACAGGGTTCTTTCAGCCACACAATACATATGTTGACTTAAGTTTTTTTGCATCGAACGTTTTTTCGATATGCCTTAAGTTACTTTATAATATATACACGCTAAAGTATTGTTAAATGCGTATAAATTCAATTACTGTCTTTGGTTTTGTTACTACTGAAATATTTTTCAACTTAAATAATAAAGTAGGTTTCAAACCCGAGTATTTATTATTTAATATATGGTAGGACAACTTCTCAAACTATATTGATGCAATTTTTTCATGTTAAGTTGTTGGAAAATAATGAATATCTAAATCCCGGGACTAATCCCGGGATCCTGGGATTGTATGCACGATGTCCCGAAAATCCCGGGATCGCAAAAAGCGAAAAAATTAACATCCCTTGTGATAGGTAACAATATCAACGGAAATAAGGTCAATTGACACTATTTCGCACACTGGTGCGAAATAAAGTCAATTGACATTGTTAACTTTCAAAAAGCGAAATAAAGTCAACAAAAATTTGCCGCGAGCAAAGCAACACTTTTTCCAAGTAACATTGCAAAGAAACAACACGGTGCCACGGCTAAGGGAGCGGTGCGAGAGAGTCAACTGTCAGTTTATCGAACCTTGTATTATTGAATCATGATCCTATA